TTCCTTACATTGCTTCTTGAGTTAGTTCCACTTCTGTTTATTGCCCCTCTGTTCTTGGACATATTCATAGAGTGGGGTGCTACTGCTGAAGCCATGGGAACTTGAACTGATACTTCCCCTTCCATAATTACCTCCTCCTGTCTGATAATTGTAGCCACCTTCTAAATTACCTTCCTTACAAATTAACAGTGTATTAATAGTGTTGGATGTAGAGTGTCCATAGGAGGGTGTGAATTGTCCAAAGCCACAACCTAAGGAACTTTCTACTTGTGTGGAACTTCTTGATTGCCCTTCTTGATTACCCTTTGAATGGCTACAGCCAGATTCCCACTGACTCCTTTCTTGGCTTCCTTGCCTCCATGTTCTTGATGGTCTATCAGTACTCTCACATCCATCAGACTTACTACCTGAAAGGCTGTCACTGCCACTTCTTTTGTTTTGACTGTACCCTGACCATTCCTGGCCACTTCTCCTTGATTGATTGGGGGTTGAACCCCTTATGGGTCTACTGTATTCTTGAGTTGAACTTGATCTATATCGTCCTTGGAATTCTTGTTTCTCATGACTGGAAGATTGACCAGATCCATAAGCACTGTGCTCAGTGCAAGATGAATGACATGAGTTAGGCTCATACTTGTCAGAGCCAGAAAACTGATGAAATCTGGAACCAGGTTGTCCAGAGCTGAAGGAGTTATATGAACCAGCCCCATATTTTTCAGAGACAGAACAAGGTTGGCTATGGCTTAAAGAAGGGCTTGAACCAGACCAGTTTTGATCATGGCTGGAGGATGGAGCTGAACCTGAGCCATGTTGGCCACAGCTAGAAGACTGAAATGATCCAGACCGATGTTGGCTGTGGCTACAAGACTGACCAGAACCATGTTGATCATAACTAGACTGACCTGAGCTATATCCATGTTTGCCACAGCTTGATGACTGTCCTGAAGTAGTACCATGCTGCATATAACTAGAGGACTGTCCAGGCTCAGAGCCATATTGGCCATAGCTGGAGGACTGACCTGAACCAGCGTCTTGTTGTCTATGTCTAGAAGACTCAGTGGACCGGGTGTGGCCATAGCCATATGACTGAGCAGAGCTAGATCCATGTTGGCCACAACTAAAAGACTCTCCTGATCCAGAACCATTTTGGCCACAGCTAGATGACTGGCCAGAGTTAGATCCACATTGGCCAGAGCTGGAAGACTGGCCTGATCCAAATCCATGTTGCCCACAGCTAGAAGTCTGACCTGATCTTGACCCCCATCGCCTATTACTTGAAGATGGACTTAACTCATGTTGACCATAGCCAGAAGACTTACAAGAGGTGGATCCATGTTTGCCACAGTTAGAAAACTGACCAGAGACAAGCTCATGTTGGCTAGAGTTAGAGGAATGACCTGAACCAGAGCCATGTTGTTTGTGCCTTGAAGATTGAGTAGATCCATACTGTTCATAGCCAGAAGCCTGACCAGAGATAGATCCATGTTGGCCACAGCTTGATGACTGTCCTGAGGTAGAACTAGAGGACTGGTCTAATCCTGACCCGTATTGACCTGAGCTAGAAAACTGACTGCAGGGAGAACCATATTGTTTATGGCTAGAAGACTGACATGACCCATGTTGACCATAGCCAGGCTGCCCAGAGCTAGATCCATGTTGGCCACAGCTTGACGAGTGTCCTGAAGTAGAACCAGGTTGTCCATAACTAGAAGACTGGCCTGACCTATATGGATATTGAGCACAGGTAGAAGAATGACCTGAGCCAGATCCATGGTGTCCATTTCTAGATGACTGACCTGAGCCAGAGCTATATTGTCTGTGGCTACAAGACTGACTTGAACCATATTGCCCATAGCCAGGAGACTGTCCACAGCTTGATGACTGTCCTGAAGTAGAACCACATTGTCCATAACTAGATGATCCATGTCCATACTGGCCACAACAAGAGCCTGATATATGTTGTCCACAGCTAGAAGACTGACTTGATCCAGATCCATGTTTACTATAGCTAGAGGACTGACCTGAACCAGAGCCATGTTGCTTATGTCTACAAGACTGACTAGATCCACATGGAATGTAACCCGAAGACTGACCAGAGCTAGATCCATTTTGGCCACAGCTTGATTTCTGTTTTGAGGTAGTATCAGTTTTTCTATACCTAGAAGACTGGCCTGATCCAGAACCATATTGATCACAGCTAGAAGACTTACCTGAACCAGACCCATATTGGTCACAGCTGGAAGACCGACCTGAAACAGATCTATGTTGACCACAGCTTGAGGACTGACCTGAACCAGTTTCATATTGGTCACAGTTAGAAGAATGACCTGATCTTTGTTGATCATAACCAGAACACTGACCAGGACTAGAACCATGCTTGCCACAGCTTGATGACCGTCTTGAAGTAGAATCAGTTTGCTGATACCTACAAGACTGTCCTGATCCAGACCCGTATTGATCACTGCCAGATAAATGACCAGATCCAGAACCATGGTGGCTATAACTAGAGGAATGATCTGTCCCAGGCCCCCATTGACTATGGCTACATGACCGACTTGACCCATGTTGACCAGAGCCAGAAGACTGACCAGAGCTAGCTTCATATTTTCTACAATTAGAAGACTGAGGTGAGCCTGAGCCATGTTGTCTGTGACTGGAGGATCGACTTGACCCATGTTGACCATAGCCAGAGGGTCGTCCATAGCTAGATCCATGTTGGTCACATCTTGATGAGTGTTCTGAAGTAGAACCATGCTGCCCATAAGAAGAAGACTGGCCTGATCCAGATCCATATTGGCCACAGTTAGAGGACTGAGCTGATCCATATCCATATTTTCCATGTCTACAAGATTGACTTGACCCATGTTGACCATAGCCAGAAGACTGACCAGAGCTAGCTTCATATTGACCACAGTTAGAAGACTGACCTGAACCTGAACTATGTCGCCTGCGACTTGAAGATTGACTTAGTCCATGTTGGCCATAACCAGAGGACTGTCCATAGTTAGATCCATGTTGGCTACAGCTTGATGAAGAACCAGGTTGCCCATAATTAGAATCAGATTGCCTGTAAGTGGAAGATGGGTCTGATCCAGAGCTATATTGGCCACAGTTATAGGACTGACCTGAGCCACAAGAATGACTTGAACCATGTCGACCAGAGCCAGAAGACTGACTAAAGCTAGATCCATGTTGACCACAGCTTGATAATTCTCTCGAAGTAGGTCCACATTGCTCATAAGTAGATGACTGTCTTGATCTAGATTCATATGGGCCACAACTAGAAGTCTGACCTGAGACTGATCCATGTTTACCACAACTAACGGCCTGACCTGATCCTGAGCCATATTGATGACAGCTGGAAGACTGACCTGATGTATATCCATGTTGACCACAACTAGAAAACTGATCTGAGCCAGAGTTATGTTGTCTATGGCTATGAAACTGACTAGACCCACATTTACCATAACCTGAAGACTGACCAGAACTAGGTCCATTTTGACCACAGCTGGAAGACTGACTTGAAACAGACCCATATTGGCTGCAGCTAAATGACTTACCTGAGCCACATCCATGTTGGCTACAGCTAGAGAACTGACCTGATTCAGATCCATCTTGACCACAGCTAGAAGACAGACCTGAGCCAGAGCCATATTGTCTGTGTCTACAAGACTGACTTGATCCATGTTGACCATAGCCAGAAGACTGACCAGAGCTAGAACCATGTTTACCATAGCTTGATGCTTGTCCTGAACTAGATCCAGGTTGCCCACAAGTAGAAGATTGTTCTGATCCAGACCCATATTGGCTACAAGTGGAAGACTGATCCAAAACAGAGCTTTGTGGACTACAACTAGATGACTGTCCTGACCCAGATGCATATTGGTCACAGATAGACGAAGACTGATTTGATCCCTGTTGGCCAGAAAACTGACCAGAGTTATATCTATGCTGGCCACAATTTGATGTCTGTCTTGAAGTAGAACCAGTTTGCTGATACCTAGAAGACTGTCCAGATCCAGACCTATATTGTTCACAGCCAGAGGAATGACCAGATCCAGAACCATGGTGGCTACAGCTATAGGACTGACCTGACTCAGAACCATGTGGTCTATGCCTACAAGACTGACTTGACCTATGTTCACCATAGCCAGAAGACTGACCAAAGTTAGGCCCATATTGACCACAGCTAGAAGACTGAGTGGACCCAGACCCATGTTGCCTGTGGCTGGAGGATTGAATTGACTCATGTTGACCATAACCAGAGGACTGTCTACGTGGACCACAGCTAGATGACTGTCCTGAAGTAGAACCAGGTGGACCATAAGTAGAAAACTGGCGTGTTTCAGATCCACTGTTAGAGGACTGACCTGATCCATATCCATGTTGGTCACTGCTAGAGGTCTGACCTGATCCAGAGACATGTTGGTCACAGCTGGAAGACTGACTTGACCTATATCCCTGTTGACCATAAATAGAGGACTGACCTGAACCTGAACCATGTTGCTTGTGGCTTGAAGATTGACTTGACCCATGCTGACTATAACCAGAGGACTGTCCATAGCTAGATCCATATTGGCCACAGCTTGATGAGTATCCTGAAGTAGAATCAGGCTTTTCATAACTAGTAGATTGACCTGATCCAGGCCCATATTGGCTGCAACTAGAAGAGAGACCAGAACCAGATCCATGGTGACCACAGTTAGAAGAGTGACTGGATTTATACTTGTGTTGTCCATACCGAGAGGACTGACCCGAACATCCATATTGGCTATTGTTAGAAGACTGGCCTGACCCAGATTTTTGTAGACTACTATTAGAGGACTGACCTGAGCCAGAGAGATTTTGTCTGTGGCTACATGACTGACTTGACCCATGTTGACCATAATGAGAAGACTGACCAGGGCAAGATCCATGTTGGTCACAGTTTGATGACTGTCTTGATGTAGAACCAAGTTGACCATAATTAGCAGACTGGCCTGAACCATACCCATGTTTTCCTAAACAAGATGATTGGCCTGAACCTGATGCAGTTTGGCCACAGCCAGATGACTGATGTCTAGCCTGACTAGGGGTGCAACTTGTGCATGAACTATGTTTTCCATAACTGTCACTAGAACTCGAACAGTATCCTTGTTCTTCACATTTTCCTGATTGAGGTTCTGTATTTGTTTTTTGCCATCTCTGTTGAGAGGACTGACACAATTCATACCCTTGACCATAACCAGTAGTTTCATTTGAACTTGACCGGTGGTCTAGACCTCCACACCTCCTTGAACTGATTTCATGAGGCTGCGTAAGAGTTGATTGGGTCAATTTCTTCTTTTGTCTATTCCCTAAAGATTCAGTTGAGTAGGATGAGTTTTGCTCAGGGCAATAGGACTGACAATCTGAATAGTATATGTTTCTTAATTCTCCAATCCTCTCTAACTGATTTGCTAAGTTTGATCTTTTTCTACAATCGCTTGAATGAGTATCACTAACATCTTCACTCCCAAACCCTTGTTGATGTGAGCCGTTTTTGTTTTTCTTATTATCCTTGAGGTATCCTGAGCTTGAGTCTCTCCTTTCTCCAGTGCTTTGCCTGTGCCCAGAAATTAAACAGTTTCTTTGCTGTTTGTCTTTTTGCTTTTTTGAACGAGTGGAAGATTTTTCTTGTCTTTTGTCCTCATCTTCTGTTTCATTCTGTTCCTTGTGATGCCAGTGACGGTGGTCTCTCTGTTTTGACCCTGAAGCTTGGCAGTAATCTTTGCTGATCATTTTATTACAAGCTTGTGCCAGCTTGAATATCATCAGAAGATACTCAGTGAAATCCACTTTCTTGTTATGGTCTCGATCCAGGCTCTGCATGATGATGTCTACAGTGTCTGGATCATCTGGATTCTGAACAGGAACAAGATACAAAAGGCAGTTTCTGTCAGTACAGACTTCATTTAACTAACCATTTGAAAGAAGGCTGTAAAAATGTGAGTGCTTGCCTACTTTGGTAGAGCCCAACCACACAGACCTTTAGGCTGGAGTTACCTACCCTGTTAAGAAAGAGAGAGGAATATTCAATGAATGATGCAGTGAGAAATGGCTAGCAGTTATAACTGGAAGATGACAGGAAAAAGAATTATTTTTCATAAGGACTGAGTCAGATATGAATGATTAGATGATTTGAAAATGATTTTAGATACCAGGGTGAATTGCATATAACCTTCATTTGACTAGTTGAAATAAATAACTAATTCAACAAAGATTAACTGCAGACTTCTAACTTCCTAATTTTGAGTTAGATACAGAGGACAAGGTGGTGAACAAGTTTGATTTCTGGCAAAATGGAATTTAAAACTTAGTGGACCAACACATGAGTTTAATCACCAGTATTTTAATGGTTCTGTTAAAGTAAACTAGAGGAGACTCATTGGCATTCAGGAAGGTTTATGAGAGCAAGTGATAGCTTCTTAAGGATGGGTTGGAATTAGCCAATTGAAAGAGTAAAGGAGAGAGGGTCGGGTGCAAAGATTGTTCTAGGCAGAGGGAAGAATGTGAACAAAGAGCTGGCAGTGAGAGAAGTCTCATACAGGAACTGAAAGAAATTCAGGATTGCTACATTCAGTTTTAGCAGAGATAAAGGGAGCAGATCATGCCTTTTATATCTGTAGAGGAACTTTTAAATTTTTCTTGAAAGAGCTGGGAGCGATAGAAAGATTTTGAATTGAATTGTGAAATCATTGTATTTGTAACCAGTGCTGAAATTGGAAGTAGGAGTTAACTTAAAGTAGAGGACTAGCTCTAGTTATGGAGTGAAATTGATTTTTTTTTTTGAGATTATCAATGAGTTAGATGGAAGTTGGAAGTGCTTTCTGAGAGAGAAAGTTGGAATGGCTCCAGATTTTTGCCTTGGGCAGGTAGGAGTAGAGTCCAGAGGGGAAGATCATGATTTTTGCATCTGACACACATTGACTTTAAGACACCCATAGGAATCTAAAAAAATATTCTTCAGGCAGTTGTGTTTACAAAATGGAAGTTAGAAAGTTAGACTGGCCTCCCAAATTATTATTTTCTCAAATGACATTTTTTAAGGGGGAAGTTCGATTGTTTTATGATTTAGAAGTAGGATGCTAATATCTTTATTTCATTTCATAGTATCAGAATCTCAGAAATGGGCAGTGGTAAGGGTGTTCTATGTTGAAGAAAGATAAAGGAAGAGACAAGATGCATTAAATTTTCAGTTTTTTTGGGACCATCTCCATTTCAGTTCTATAAGAATCACTTACCTAATCAGGATATTATTTAATCTATGGATCTTACAAGGATCTATTCCCTTGGTCATGGTATAGAAATCTTAAAAGTCAACTTTGACCTTAGTTCATGCCTTTACCAAACCTTATCCTTGAGCGACAAATAGAGTTTTCTAGGAGTTTGTATGTAATAAGAAGGTAGGATGTGGTGAGCAGAAAATTGCAGCTCTCTTCATCCCTGACATGTAGTTATTACCTTCAGAATTTGATGAAACTCATTTTCCAAAAGTGCCTTCATTTCTTCTTTCTTTAACATGTTACATTCCTCATCTTGGCTGGCATATTCATAGAAGACATCGATGACAGTGACCATGCTTTGTACGAGTTTAGGCATCTTTTCGTAAATTTAACCTGTGAGGAAATGAAGGGAAAAGGGATATCAATCTCTTACTAGTTTTTTTTTACAAATATATAAATATTTCCTATCATTTGTAATAATTGTTTAGAATAATTTAAGCCAGGTTAATTATATCCTGTTGTAATAAGAACTTATTCAGAGATGAATGACTTGTTCAAGCCATGTGGCAAGAAAGTGATGAAATTAGGAACAGAATGTACATTGTTTATCTCTACTCATGAATGAATGTAGAGCTCTGACTTTCTGTTTTTGACTCCCTGCTTCTTCCAGAACTTTTTGTTCTGGAGCTTTCGAAATTGTGTGTTTACTAATTCATCCACTTCCTCAGCTCTTCTCTGGGTCCCAGTTGTCACACTGTAGAGAGACAGGTCCATCATCAAAATGGTGCCTGACTCCAGCTATACGGCAACAGTGGCTATGCTGGACCCTTAGACTTCTAGGTCAGATTTAAAAAACAAACAGGAAATATCACTGGCCTTAGTGATATGAAGCTTGGAGTAGATTCTGTTAGGTTTCAGTTTCTATTTTGATTCTCCAAGGAGGTACTGACCCTTAGGCTTTACTGACTACACAACAGAGAGAAAAAGTTCGAGAGTGAAGAATGCAGTATGTCTGGTGGAGATAGCCCTAAGATTTTTAAGAAAATGACCACCAAATGACAGTCTTTTAAAGAATGGTGATGGGATAATTGAGAGCCACATGTAAAAGTATGAAGTTGATTACTCATTGACATTACACACCAAAATAAACTCCAAATAGGCTACAGATATAAGACCTGAAAAAACAAAACACATAGACGGACTCATTGGTGATATGTTATATGATATCAAGAACGAAGATATATTTGGTGACTCAACTCTTATGGCAGGTAGTTAAAACAAACATTTGGGTATTTGTAAACTTAAAAACTCTTCTTCACAGAAAGAAAATATAAGACAATTAAAAGACTACCTACTGAATGGGAGAAACTATTCACACAAATATATAGCTGGTAGGTAAATACTACCCACGATCTATCAGAAACGTGCAATTCAACAATGAAAATATAAACATAATTGTGGAGAGCATATATGAATGAATTTTCACTGAAGAGCTATCCAGAAGAACAAAAGACATGAAAAATGTCACTTCTAATAAGAAATATTCAGATTGAAACTAAATGATGTATCATCTCACACCTGTGAGAATGGAACATATTCAACAGACCCCCCAACAACTGCTAGAGCAGATGTGGATTAAAGAGACTCCTTATATACTGTTAGTGGATGGTTTTCTGGATTTAGCTTAAAATCTAAAAATGGCAATGCCAGTGGCCCAAAATCCCATTGTTGTGTGTGTGTATTCATGGAATATGACGCTATCAGCAAAGCCCGAATATGTTCACAATGGTCAAACCAGCATTATTTACAAAAGTTAAGACATGGGAGTAGCCTAAAAGTCCAAGTAGGCATGACTGGATCTATAAGATCCACACATGAAGTATTACCTAGACAAAAGGAAGGATGACATGCAGCTATCTTTAGGTACATCAGGAATTGGAGAGAATAGTGTGTGTAGTGTAAGTAAGAATTATAAAAACATACATGGAGACAGTTTGATAATATAAAACACTTAAAAACATGTTAACATGAATAAACTTTCTGAGAGCTCTGAGATTAAGAGACAGGGAAGAAGGAAGGACAAGAAGTAGGCAGTGATGGTACCTCTTTGCTTCATTATTCATAAACCCTAAGTCCTGTTCACTTACCTAGTTGGTCAGAGGAACAAGCAGGATGTAGTCTGAAGCAGCTTCCAGGGTGCTGCTCGGTGGGGATGTGTCCCTTTTATAGAGGCAATATGGTCCATCTTTGGGAGGAGCTTCTCTTTGAGATGTCCTAATTCACTCCCAAACAAGCCCAGTTCCACATCCATCTCCACCTCCACTTCCACCTCCAAGGTATTTGCTTTCCTTATAGGATCATCTGATAATTGCATTAGCAACTCCTAAATCTGGGCTAGTATCAGGCCCACTGGCAAGCTTTTCTGGATCCTATAGAAGGACCTGCATATTCAGCAACATAGCATATGTTGATAACAAATGATACGGGCTTTAACTGAAATTGAATGGACTGTGCAGGGACATTGGGAGCAAATGTCACAGAATGGTGGAATTTGGTGTTCATAACAATATCTCATCAAATTCCCTTTTTAAGCTAAGTTTTTATCTATGGGACTCCAACTAAGCTGTCTCTCATATAGTCACCTCTGGTAATGGATAGTGGCTGCAGATACCCTGTGTCTCCTTACCTAAGTGTTTGCCAGATCTTAGTGGCCAATGTAGCTTCAGTTTAAAGCCCTACAGAACCTTAGCAAGACATAGATGCTATTTAGCAAAGTATTAAGTTTCTTTAATATTAGGTTCTCTCAAGCTCCATGTGCTTTCTTCCTATTGTTTGTATTGTTTGTTATACTCTAGCAGTAGTTAACTCCTTTATCTTTCCTGAATTTGTGTGTATAAATTTTCTTGATACGTGTTTCCTTATTATTGGTCTGGCAAACTCGTAGTCATTTTCAGACCTACATTAGACAACCTATATAAAATCTTTCTTGCATTACTAAAAAGGAGTTATAATTGTGTGCCTTTTAGAAAGTTTATTGTGATATCAATGACACTATTATAATATTTTCAAATTGTGTTTTGTCATTCTTATTTTACATAAAAGCAGGAAAATAGATAAACAAAGTAAATAAAAAAAATATCTGTTATCCTACTACCCAGTAATGGCTACTGTTAAGTATTTTGTGTATATGCTTTCATACACACAAACACATACATATAGTCTGGATGCCTATATCACTTCTAACCTATGAACTTCTTGAGAATAGGGGTTGGGCTTTCTTAGTCACTGTGTCCCTTGGAGGTATAGCATGCTGCTTAGCACATAAGGGTCTCCAGTAAATGTTCAGTTGAATTGAAAATGCAGTGAGTGTCATGACAACAGTGCTCTGTGTTCATCTGTTTATGCTTTTCCAGTGTTAGGGTCTGCCCTCTCTCTGGACAGCTACATTACAGAGGACGTGAGTTCAGCTGAATAGTATCCTCATCAAAGCATCAGGTAGCAACTTTCTGCTTATCCCCAAACCCTGCATTCACTGCAAAGGTATTGCAGAAATTTCTCTCACCTGAGTTTCATACCTAGACTTCAAGCCATAGGCAAATGATAAGTCACATGACTCCAAATTAACCATGATCAGTTTTTACACACACGTGCACACACATGTATGTGTATACACACATGTATACTACATATACATGTGTATATGTATATATGTGTATATATAATATGTATGTATACATGTATGTGTGTATATATGTATATATATAATACATATGTATGTGTATATATATATATATATTTTTTTTTTGTTTCCCTAAGAATTTTGTAGAATCAGTATCCATTCTATGACTATGTTTTCTCTGTATGCATGACTGGGGCCAGGTTGTCATGTTTCATCAGAGGAATGAGCTCTTTCAAGGTGTGACTGAGATTGTGGGATGCAGGGGAGGTGGAATTTGCTGAGTAAAGAGTAATTTCCTGCAGAGGCTGATGTTGCCACAGAGGGAAGAGAAGATTGATGGTAAAGGCTATCCCAGGTGAACGATGTTCTTTGGTGTTCTCCTAAACAAGAGGGTCAGCAGATGTTCTCTGTAAAGAGCCAGGAGTAAATATTAGTTTTTGTGAACCAGGCAGTGTTTGTTGCAGATACTCAGCTCTCCTCTTGGGCATGAAAACATCCATAGATTACATGTAAACAAATGAGCATGACTGTGACATGATGAAGCTTATTTATCCACATATGATCCATAATTTTATAATTGCCATTGTTACATTCCCTTTCCCCCCAAACATGTAGAAACATTTAAAAATGTAGAACACATTCATAGTGTGAGGGTCACACAGACATTGGTGATGGTCACCTCTGGGTCTGGGCTGTGGTTGGCACCCCTGGTTCTCTTCTGTATTTGCTTGTCAGGAAGACTCAGTAGGAGAAGAGTCTCAGAGGGAAGAGAAGGGCTGGAAATTGTGGGACATCAGAAACCCTAGTTCTTATAAGAGAAAAATGGGCTTTATGTATTTGTGAATGTGGGTGTGTGTGAGGTGATAGAGGAAGGGGGCCTTGCACTGTTCATAGACAAATTTTTATTTGATAAAAGGAAGAAATGTTTAACATATGTACCTTGTGAAGTTATGTTTTTCAGTTTCATTAAAGGAACTTTTACATGTTGAGTAAACAGTTTCAATTCTCTCCATTCTTTGTTATTAAATAGGCTTCATTTATCTTCACTGCATTTTGTTGAATTTTATTTCCTGTCTTGCATCATGGAAATAAGGCATTTTGTGAATGTGCATTTTCCCTGTTCTCTCTTTGAGATTTAGTCAAATTAATGTAAAGGTTGGGTATTCTATCATAAAAATTCCCCTCAAAATGGATTATTGATCTTACCAGAATGATTGAGTGGTCATAATATATGCCACTCACAAGTATGGTCAGTGGATTTAGGAAGGTTTAGAAATGTTGTCTCTGTAGATCTGCCTAGGGATTGCTTTCTTCTTTTGACAAAATTATAGGGAGCTAAAATTTTAGCAGATCCCTGGTGAGTTGCAAGTCCCAGTGACGTGATGATATCATCAGGCATTGATGAGCTGAGCCCTTTATTCTGCAGCTGGGATGTGCTGGACCAGATTTGCCAGTGACCAGGCTCGGGAGAGCACTTTCCCTTAACCATTTGAGTCATTGGGTACTGATGTTCTTTGTGTGATTCGAATTCTTGTGAAATAATTTCAGCTTTACCAGTAAGTATAAGAAAGTATATATTAAGTATTATTTTTCTTGAGAAAACTTTGACCTTGTTTAATCATTTCCTCCTTCCAGAGCTACCACTATGCTGAGTTTTGTATTTAACATTCCCATAAAGTTTTTTTTTTAATTTACCA